CTTTGGAGATGTAATTTATTATATATGCCTGAGTGGGTTTTTTTGTTTGTGTGTTTTTTAAAAAAAAAGGTAAAGTGGATAGAGAGAAATACTTTTAACTGATGGTATATGGAGGGGATTATAATCAATGTCATGAAACAAGTTATATGAATTGTTGAATGTGAAACTGATGATGTACCCTGTAAACTTTCACTCAATCCACAATAAAAACCTTAAATTAAAAAAAAAGAAAAAGAAGATGGAAAGAATGCACAGTCACTGTTCCCAACCATTTCACGAGATAGCATATGATCAAGAGCCAATGACATTGATAGCTTTTTACAAAGAACATGGCTCCAGGAATTGATGAAATACAAATTTAAATCTTTCAGCAAACTGATGTAGTACTGGAGGCACTCACTCATCTATACCAAGAAATTTGGAAGCCAGTTACCTGGCCAAATGATTTGAAGGGATCTATATTTATGCCCATTCCAAAGAGAGGTGACCAAATGGAAATCATCAGAAAATGTCACCAATATGCTAGCAGAATTTTGCTAAAGATAATTTTAAAAAATGACTGCAAAAATACAATGACAAGGAACTGCCAGAAGTTCAAGTTATAGAGCAAGGGATAGCACTGCTGATGTCAGATGGATCTTGGCTGAAAGCAGAGAACACGAGAAAGATGTTTAACTATGCTTTATTGAGTATGCAGAGGTTTTCAACTGTGTGGATTATGACAAGCTATGGACAACACTGTGGAAAATGAATATTCCAGAACATTTAATGGTGCTTATGAAAAACCTGTACATAGATAGACCAAGAACAGAACAAAGGGACACTGAATGGTTTAAAATCAGGAAAGCTGTGCACCAGAGTTGTATTTTTTCACCATACTTATTGAACCTGTATGCTGAGCAAATAATCTGAAAAGTTGGGCTATAGAAGAAAAACATAGCATCTAGATTAGAAGAAGACTCATGAACAACCTGCAATATGTAGACAATACTGAAAGCAGAGAGGATTTACAATACTTAATGATGAACATCAAAGACCACATCCTTCAGTATGGGCTACACCTCAGTGCAAAGAAAACAAATATCCTCACTACTGGACCAATAAATATCATCATGATAAATGGAGAAAAGATTGAAGTTGTCAAAGACTTCATTTTGCTTGGGTCCACTGTCAACACTCATGGAAGCAGCAGTCAAGAAATTAAATGATGCATTGCATTAGGCAAATCTGTTGCATAAGACCTCTTTAAAGTGTTCAAGAGCAAAGAATCAGTTTGAGGACTAAGGTGCACCTGACCCAAGCCATGGAATTTTCAATAGCCTCCCATGCATGTGAAGTTTCACAATGAATAAGGAAGGTTGTAGAATAATTGATGCATTTGTATTATGGTATTAGAAAAGACTATAATAAGACCATGGGCTGCCAAGAAATCTACATAGAAGAAGTGCGGCCAGAATGCCCCTGAGAATCCAGGATGGCAAGACATTGTCTCAATTACTTTAGACATATTATCAGGAGGGACTGGTCCCTGAAGAAGGACATCACACTTAGTAAAGTGGAGGGTCAGCAAAAAAGAGGAAAAGATGGATTGGCACAGTGGCAGCAGCAATGAGTTCAAGCTTAACAACAACTATAAGACTGGCACAGGACCCAGCTCATAAGGTTGCTATGAGCTGGAACCGACTCAATGGCACCTAACAATAAAACAACATCATCTGAGATTTCATTCAAAGTAGGTAAAGATTTTTAATTTTGAGACTTCATTGTGAGTTATAAATAATGAATAAATTTGGACCTGACTTAATTGCTTAAAGTATAATCCAATACACCTAACTTCAAGTGACCTCTTAAAATCCATGAGGCTCTGAATCACTTAGTCAACTTTACCAAATGGTCCCTATGCCCCATCAAAAAGATCACAAAAGACTCACAAAAGTACTCATTTGATTTAACTATGGGGAGTCAGAAAACTACAAATACACTTTTTCTGTAACAACTGGGAATTCTAACAATTTGAAAAATGAAATCACATTTTATATTGCAAGTCCAACGTACCCATAAACAAGCAGATTCTTTTCCACTCTGAAACACTCACTCCTTGCATAACCCTGTGACTTATCCTGGGGTCGCCGGGACTTGGTACAAGGCTTTTCTTCGGAATCACTTTCCAAGTCAGAAAATTCCATCAGCTCATCTTCCTTCACTGCACTGTAGAGCCTAGTCTGCTTTCTCACTCTTGGAGTGTCAATGACTAGGTTGTTCTGAAAAGAGAGCAGATAAATTTGACATGTCTGAAAAAGTGACCCTTGGGTGAGATCAGATAAGGGATTGAATGGGGCCTTTCACTCACCCTCCCATTTAAGGCATCTATATCCAATTCAGCCTTCTTTGCCCACTTTTGCCAGAAATTTGGATCATCCAAGGAAATATCTGTCCTATTTCCAGATGCAACAAAGCTAGCCTAAAAGGAAACAAATATGCATTACTTTGAGGTGCTATTCTCACGGGCAAGAGGTAAAAGCAGCTTTCAATATTTGTCATCTCAGACAGCAGTGAGTTCTTCCACGTGTGCTGCAGCTCTGGTGGGAGGGAGGAAGACAGCAACCTACCCACCAGGCATCTCACTGTCCAAGGGCAGAAGCAGACTAGAAAATAAAGGATTACAGTCAGGTGTCACAAACAATAGGGGTCAAAGGCATGCACAAAATGCCTTTGATACACAGAAGAGGAGCCCTTAACCTGGTTTATACAGGTGGGCTGGCACAGAGAAGGCACTACTGGGAAGAGAGAAAAAAGGCTCTGAAGATAATTCTTGAATCAAATTTTAAAATGCTCACAGAACAGGAAAGCAAGTGGAAGTATTCAATGCAGACTAAAGAGGATGTACAAAGGTACAAAGGAGAAGAAAGGCTAAAACTAAGGTCTCCTGTGGGCAAGTCTAAGGACATATGTGAAAGCTGGTGAGTCACACAAAAGCCAGATCAAGGATGGCCAGGCATGCCCCAATAGCAGAGTCTGAAATCTCTGAGGTAGCATTTTGAAGACATAATCTCTATAAGGACAGGATCATAATCAGAGTCAAATGCTAGAAATCTCATACTGGAGTATACATCTTGGAGCACGGAAGTAGAACAGGTCACTCTAGCAGTTTACATAAGAAATTAGGAAGACCAAAAACAGTGATAGCAGAAATGTGGAAAAGGAGACAGTCTAGAAAGATATTTTTTTAAAAGGTAAAATTAATTAAGTTATTATCTGGGTGGATGTGAAACATGAAAGAGGAGGAGAAATTCAGGGAAAGTGTCAACATACAACTTTGGCACCAGAATAGTACTATTTTTTGAACAAACAGGTATATAAGTGTGAGGAGCAGGGATAATGAATTTGCTTTTGCATGTACAGGATTTGAAGTGTCTGAATGGGCTAGAAAAAAAACTTGAAGAAAAGACTGGGAAGGAGTGAGGAAGAAGGTCACAGAGTCCAGAGAGGAGGGCCAGCCAAGAGTAGAATGGCTGAGCCAGCTAGATCTTCACATGCAAAAGGAGGATGGTAGACTCCTGCCTCACACCATACACAAAAATGAACTAAAAAAGTATCACAGTCCTAAATAAAGTCATAACCAAAACTATAAGACTCTTGGGAGTAAATCTTTCTGACCTTGAGTAAGACCATGGTTTCTTGGATAAAATACCCAAAGCCTAATTGATAAAAGAAAAAAATGGGTAAATTGATTGTCATCCAATTAAACACCATTAATAAAAGACTAAGAGGAGTCCTGGTAGCGTAGTGGTTATGAATCGGGGTGAGAACCTCAAGGTCAGCAGTTCGAAACTACCAGCTGCTCCGCAGGAGAAAGATGAGGCATTCTGCTCCTGTAAAGATTAACAACCTCAGAAACCCTGTGCAGGGTCGTTATGAGCCAGAACTGACTCGATGGCACTTAACAACAACAACAAATAAAAAGACTAGGATTAAAAAAAGGAGCTCTGGTAGTGTACTGGTTACGAATCAGGCTGCTAACCTCAGGGCCAGCAGTTCGAAACTACCAGCTGTTCTACGGGAGACAGATGAAGATTTCTGCTCCCATAAAGATTTACAGCCGCGGAAACCCTGTACAGGGTCGCCTTGAGTCGGAATTGACTCCACAGCACATGATAAAATAACTGGAAATCACATCATCTGGTACAGGACTTATATCTAGATTATATTAAGAACTCTGAAAACTCAAAGGGGGCGGGGGATACTAAAAAACTGAGCATAAAATTTGAATAAACATTCCTTCAAAGACGATATACAAATGACCAATAAACACATGAAAAGGTGTCTACTATTATTAGCATTAGGGAAATTCAAATCAAAACTAGAATGAAATACTACCTCATACCCATTTTTTTGTTGTTGAGTCAGTTCAAACTCAAACTTCACCTGAATTGTTGTTGCTGTTAAATGCCAATCAAGTCGGTTCCATATAGCAACCCTACATAGAGTTTCCAAGGAACAACTGTTGGACATGAACTGCTGACCTTATGGTTAGTGGTCCAGTGCTGATCCTACAGTACGACATTTACTAGGATGGCTATAATCAATAATATAAACAATAAAACCTGTTGGGAGAGGATATGAAAAACTCAGCCCTCTTTCACCACTGTTGAGAATGGAAAATGATGCAGCCATTGGAAATATTCTGGCAGTTCATCAAATGATTAAACAGCAATAACCATAGGGATCCAACAATTCCACTTCTAGGTATGCTGTTGTTAAGCGATGTTGAGTCAGTTCCAACTCATATCAAACCAGTACAGGGTTTCCAAGGAGTGGAAACATATACACAAAAACATAGAAAAGAAAACATGCACACAAAAACCATACAAACATTTATGGCAGCACTGTGGTGCTGTAGGATAAGCACTGCACTGCTAGCTAAAAGGTCAGTGGTTTAAACCCAATAACTGCTCTTTGCAAACCTTATATAGGACTGCTATAAGTCTAATCAACTTGGCACCACTTAACAACCACCACAACAATGGACATTTGTGTTTCCGGTGCATTATCCTGCAGCACCACACCAGGACTCCAAATGTCCATTACTAGTTGGTAAAAGTGGTATATGCAGTACAATGGAATGTTATTCATCATAAAAAGTAATGCATTATTGGTACATGCTACAATATGGATGAAGCTCTAAAACATGCTAAGTGAACAGAGGCAAGCAAAGATCACAAACTGAATGACTCTAGTCCTGGTGTGGTGCTGTGGGTTAATGTGCCAGACTGCAAAGCCATTTGAACTGCAAGGTCGGTGGTTCAAGCTCATCAGCTGCTCCTCAGAAACCCTATACAGGGTCGCTATGTGTTGGAACTGATTCAACAGCACTTAACAACAACAGTGATATGAAATATTCAGAATAGGCAAATTTAGATGGACAGAAAGAAGATTAATGTCACTAGTTGCTCCTCAGTAACCCTATGAAGGGTCTCTATGAGTCAGACCCAATTAGCACTTAACAACAAGGGTTGGGGGAAAGGAGCCCTGGTCACACAATAGTTAAATGCTCAGCTGTTAACTGATAGGTCAGTGGTTCGAACCTACCAGCTATTCTTTGGGAGAAAAGTCCTGGTAAACTGTTCCTGCAAAGCCTAGGAAATCCCAAGAGACAGTTCTACTCTGTCATATAGGGTCACCATAGGTTGGAATCAACTCAATAGCAACTAACAACAATAGGGCTGGGGTGGAGGGTAGCATAGGAGATTCAGTGGAGACTGTGAACAGACAGGAAGGGCTTTTGGGGGTGATAGAAATATAATAAACTTAGATCTAGTGAAAGTGGCACAACTCTGAACATGCTTAAAACCAGTGAATTATATAAATAAAACAGGGGAATTTCAAGACATGTAAATTACATTTCAATAAAGCTGTTTTTACAAATAGGTTCAGACCTCACCCAGAATCTTCTGAGGTGGGAAATTTCCACTTGAAAGAACAAGCAGACCAACCTGGAGCAACTAGAAGAACAGAAGCTACCTCTTGAAAGAAAGATCAACAGGAAAAATACAAAACAATAATGGCAGTGCGACTGATTACTATAAGAATAAGCAAGTTGCTCGCCCAGGAGACATCAAGGCAAGTGGTTGGGTCCCCTCAGGGCAAACCCCCTTCCAAGACTGAGACTCAATGGGAATACAAGAGCAGACATGTGCTCTGATTGGTGATCATGTTTGTCACCGATAAGGGGAAGTGAGGGAAAAACAGCAATGAAGCTGTGACCTAAGCCCTATCACATTCAACAGTCTCCTGTGAACCCGGGTGTAGACCTGGTGTGGCAAGACCTGGGGACTCTTGGGCCCAGAGTCAGTGGCATAGCCACAGAGGACTACAGTGGAGACTAGAGTGAAGCATCCAGCTGATAAAAAGAGAGAGCATACACATGAGAACACCCACACTTCCAGATAATACCCACTTAACCTTGCTTCAATGACTGGATGATCAGAGTTCAACTAGAAGAAGAAAGAAGAGGAAAAAAAAAAGTAATCTGATACAATTTGATGAACTTGACCTACACCTATGGATTCAGTAGCTCAAAAGAGGGAACTAATCTTTACAGCAAGGATCATTCCCAACCCTTCTCCATACACAGAGTAGACAGGGATGGGCAACTTTGACATTGGCTACCCAACATGGGGGGGGGGGGGCGCTACAAAGGCAAGAAGTGACTGGCTTACAAGCTTTCAAGAGGGAGCCTAGCTCCAGAGGCCACGGAGGAAGGTAGAATCTCCACTGAGTAGTATCCAATCTGTCTGGGCAGGGCTAATGAAAGGAGATGGGGATAGGTGCTTTATGGTACAATGGTGAATAACTGTTATCAGGACTGACTGTGAGGGTTGGAAATGTAAAGGTGGACATTTTGTAGCAAAAGGAGGGGAGTGATTGACTTTGCAGTCCAGGAACGGAGGTCTCTGGAACCATCAAGGGAGAAGAGTGGAGTGCAAGACCCTACTCACAGAAGCAGTGACACCAGAGATGGAGTCAGAGATGATGACATGGAGAGATGGAGCAGCTGGGGACTCTAGACCCAGAGAAGGAGAGGGGATGTGTGCTGATGCCCAGAGGGCAGACTGGCAGGGTATACCCTTTGGTTGATGATGCATGGAGGGGATTGTAACCATGGCAATGAAACGATAGACGATAGGATGAAGCTAATGTTCTCTCATTTAAACTATCACATAATTCACAATAAAACATTAAAAAAAAAAAAGTTCAGACTGGTCTTTGTGTGGAGTGATGGATGTGCAAATGAAGACCCCAACAAGCTCTCAGATGCAATCACCCCAGCTCTGTGGTACCTTTCAGAAGTGGGGGTGGGCACAAGCATGAAGTTAAAAAATAAGCAGAAAGGGAGGCAGTGGAGACAGCCGGTGTCAATTAGGCGTGTGTGGATTTCAGCTGTGAAAAGTTATGGGGTAGTAGCTAGAAGGAAAGAGTTTTTAAAGGTTGAGATGACTTGACTGCTCAAATATGCTGTTTCAGAAAAGAGTACCTTTGGAGGAGATGAGGATGAGGATGACAGAGCAGGATCACAGAAGTGATCTCAGAGGCAATGGAAATGGGTGGGTGCAGGTGAAGGATTCCCCTCAGGAGATTGGAAGCAGGTATGAGAACAGAGGCTGAGGGTGACAGCAGGGTGCCACATACACAGGAGAGAGACCAAAACACAGACGAAAAAGGTTCATGGGCTGGGGGTCCTTGGGGAATTCAGTAACTGACTGATTAATTCCTAGTTCCATGTGAGCACTTCACTAGGTGTGTTTATATTAACTCTCAGGAGAAAGATATGCCAATGCTGCTTCCAGGGAAACCCTCCAGGGCAGGTTCCACTCTGTTCTATGAGGTTGCTATGAGTTGGAATTAGTGGCAGTGGAGTTACAGTTTACATAAACTCTCCTCTACATTAGAGTTGGCCCTTCAGATCAACTCGCACCTTAGCGAATGTGGACCCTTTTCCTTCGGACTCAATGGTAATCGTGTGTGTTCGCCGTAGGAGAATCTGATCAATATCTTCTTCACAGAACTTAGATCCTTCGTCCTCCTCATCCATGAGTGCACCATAAGCCCCCTTTCGTAGAAGATCCTCTATTTCCTTCTTAGAAAGCTGTTGTACCTGTTTGAGGGAAATCTTTTAAATCATTTAGGATTTAACCATTTGTAGGCTGAACAAATTCTTCCTTTACCTCAGAGAGTGTAAACCTGAGCTATAACAAAGAAAAAAGTGACAAACCATGCTTCAAGTATTGAGATAAAAGAAAACAGGAGGCTTAATAATTTCTTAACATTAGCTACACAAAAAGTAAGAAGTCAGAAAACAATGAATGATATGGGGGGAGATTTGTTTACCCCATTGGTAGTGTTCTCTCTTCCACTCATTGACTGCAGCACAGCTTTATCCAGCCCAAGCTTCAAACTAGCCTTGTCGAACATTTCTCTTTCATAAGAATTTCTTGTAATCAGCCTGTAGATTTTCACAGATTTGCTCTGTCCTATTCTATGACACCTAGCCTGAGCCTAGAAAAAAAAGGAAATGAATGACTATCAAAAAAAGTAAAAAAGAGTAGAATTTTGAATATTTATAACTGCCAGTTATAAGACGGGCTCCTGGTATGGTGCCATAAGATCAGCACTGGACTGCGAACAAGGTCAACAGCTCAAATCTACCAGCTGTTCCCCAGAAACTGTATGCTGGGTCGCTATGTCAGAAGCGATTCAATGGCAGTTAACAACAAATTATAAGAGCATATATTCCAACAGAGGTACAGTTTAGAAGAGCAATGACATGCCAAGAAATCAAATTTACATTAATAAATTGATCCCCAAGTGTTTCATTCATTTGCCATGTATCACAAGGCACACTGCCTGTAACTTAGTGGTCTAGTTGGGGAGTCTCTATTATAGTAGAATGACTTTTTTTTAAAAAAAAGCATCAGCAAGATTTTCTTGCATGTTTACCTGGAGGTCATTTTGGGGATTCCAGTCTGAATCAAAGATGATGCAGGTATCAGCAGCAGTAAGATTAATGCCTAGCCCTCCTGCCCTTGTACACAGGAGGAAAACAAACCTATCAGAATCAGGCTTGGAGAATCTGTCAATAGCTGCCTGGCGAAGGTTGCCTCTGACTCGGCCATCGATTCTTTCGTAGGGGTACCTAGAAAATACCAGTGTTAACAAGGAGATCTGAAAAACAGCTACAGCATACTTGTACCTTCCCTCTTTTTAAAAAGTATTACAATCTGGGCTGTACACGAGTAGAATGACACTACTCACATAAGACATCATTTCAGAGTAAATAAGGTTTGTCATGTTTCATACAGTTGTCTGAATGCCCAAAGATCAAATTTATTTTACTTTACCCTCCAGTGAAAATTATCTAAACTTTAAAAATAGTTGGTACCTTCAATAGTAAGTAACACTTTCAAGTATAGGGAAGAATTCTTCTCCCCTATTCAAATGAAAGTAATGGGAAAAGAACAGTTCACAAAACTGGTCCGTGTCCACCTATAAATGCCATCCAAAACAAGTCTCATGTACATCAATGTTTCTAAAAAAAATATGTCATATTTTCCCCCATGCCATTCCCCTCATATTAGTGTCACCTGAGGTAAACTATGTGGAACCCCACTAAAGTACATTTTAAAAAATTCCTTTTTATCATATGACATGGTGCACTCACCGTCTCTGAATGAGGTAGTCTTCTAGTATGTCCAAGCAGCGCACCATCTGGGAAAAGATAAGCACCCTGTGGCCACCAGCCTTCAATTTTGGCAGCAGCTTGTCAATCAGCACGAGCTTGCCAGCAGCCTGGATCATGGCCTGGAGCTGAAAATCTGGAGACTCGGCATTGTGTGTTTCTTTAAACTCTTCCAAAATTTTCTCTTCAGCACCTGCAGAGATTGGATAGCACAATATGAATACTGTAAAAGGTTTAAATTGCCAAAAACAATGAGCTTGCTTTCACATCCACTGTAAGCCAGAGGAAACCTGAGCACCACACTCATATTTATGAACAAGAAGCCATCGACCTACTCAAAGTCAAGTCTACGCAAAACCATCCAAGTATAAAGAGGACCAAAGTTTTAAGAGCAACACATTTAGGCAGTTAGGGGGAAAACCACATTTTCCAAAAAACAAATATCTGCTATCTGCAGAAAGTGAATTTCAACAACAGGCTGTCAACCAGAAGTCAGGTAATAAGCCAAGAACATCTGAAACCCAAATTGTTAAAGAAATGAAGATGTGCTTGCTCACTGAACATAAACATAACCAATCAAAATCTGTTCTGGAAGTAGAAACATGCAAACAGAATTCTGACCTTGAGAGTATAAGGGTACTACTTTGGGTATATAACTGCATATTAATATGGTCAAGAGAACCGAAATCAAAGGCAGTTCATCCTTTTGATAACTTTTAGGGATTTTTGTGGGGACCTAGGTACACAAGTTCTATTGTCATCTCTAACCTGCCTCCACATTCATTTCCATCTGATAACTTCCTAAAATATAAAGTTTTTATCTTTAATTATCCAAGCTCAAAACAAAACAAAAATGTGTTTCATAGGAGACTTCTCTGAACAGTCACTCTTTCTCACAACCCATGTGCACATCTGCATGTTCAGGGAATCATGCTCTGAGACAATGACCTTTTCCTGGGAGTGAGGCCCTGACCACTTCCTCCCTGACCCAATACTGATGCTAATTCAGTAAACAGCAGGCTAAGCTTTCTTCAACTGCTGAGGTGGCTTAACTAGAATTATACAGCACTGGATTGGCCTATCCAAGTTAGGGGACATCAGTACAGATCTGTGAACCTTAACTCATTTCCCAAAGGCTGCTACATGCATGGACCCATTCTTTAGAAACAAATAAATAAATCACTTCCCAGGCTTAAATTGTGCCAAAAACTTTAAAGGATTTTCTTAGTACTGGTTGTAAGCCTTTGCACACAAGGGACACCACAGAAGGTTTTCCAAGTGCTGGCTAGACAGACCACCACAGTCAAGCAGACAGGGTCCCTGCACGAAGCAGAACAGGCAACCAAAGTGCAATGCTCTTTTCATTTTAAGGTCACTTGTGAAAATTAACTTATAGTCATTGCAGAAAATCAGCTTGTGAATTATTATTAAAGTTTCTTAACATCATTACCAAGCACTACAGCCTCCCACAAGGCTGACAAAGTCACCTTAGGTGGGGACTTTTATTCTCACTCTTCTCTACATTAATAAAAGGTGATTACTTTGACTTTTTCTTTAAACTAATAAAAAAAGAGAAAACAACAAAGCTATATAGGAAAAAGTAAAGGATAAAATGCTTTCAAGAGCATTAGAAAGAAAGCTCAATTTAAAAAAATCATGATATTAAGAAATTGTTGTTCTAGATATAAGACAAAAAGGTCCTTATGAGATAAGAGATCTAGGTTTGAAATATTATATTGGATAAGATTTTTTTTTTCCATTTGCTTTTGTACAATATATATGTAAGTTCTTTGCAACTCAGCAACAGACAGATTTTAATATTATGGTATTTGAGTACTTTTCATATTAACATGATACTCCATAATTAAAATGAAATATAGTAAGTAGTTTAAAAGAATAAGCTGAAAGTCAATGGATATTTTTCAATGAAATAATCATATTAAAATACAAAGCAAACATATTTGAACTACTTTCGTAAGAAATTTGAGAAAATATTTCAGTCAAATTAGAGAAATTTAAATTTAATGTTATAATTTACAATAAATAAATGTATTACTTTATTATATTATCAGTGATGCAAAAAATAACTTTCCTATATTGTCAATACTACCATATTTCTCATCTTCTAAATAGTAAAACTATGAAAACATTCATTCTTAATTGACAAAGGAAGCTACAGCTGCATTAATCAATTTAGCTTTGAGACATGAATTTAGGTTCCTAAAGTGACAGTTTACACCAGTAATTCTTCATTTTAAAATACTGCCAGAAAACATATTTCCTATATAATTTTCTTTGTTGGTGTGAGGTGCCATTGAGTCAGTTCTGACTCATAGTGACCATGTGCACAATAGAACAAAACACTGTTCTGTCCTACAGTAGCCTGGTAATTGTTATGCTTGAGCCCATTGTTGCTGCCACTGCTCAACCTTTTTTGTTGGGAGTCTTTTTCTTTTTCACTTACCCTTCACCCAGTGAAGCATGATGTCCTTCTGCAGACAATCTGTCCAGAGTACGAGACACAAAGTCTTACCATCTTTGCTTTTAAGGAGCATTCCAGTTGCACTTCTTTCAACACCGATTTATTTGTTCTTCTAGCAGTCCGTGATACTTTTAATATTCTCCAATGTCTTAATTCATATGTATCAATTATACTACAGCCTGCCTTATTCACTATCCAACGGAAAATACCATGGCTTGGGTCAGGTGCACCTTAGTCCTCAAACTGCATTTTTGGCTCTTGAACACTTGCCTAATGCAGTCCATTGTTTGATTTCTTGACTATTGCTTCCATGAGTGTTGAATGTGGATCCAAGCAAAAGAAGTCTTGGACAACTTCATTTTTTTCCCCCATATATCATGATGTTAATTTATTGATTCAATTGTGAAGATTTTCATTTTGTTTCTTTGATGTGCAGTTCATACTGAAGACTATAGTCTTTGAACGATTTGCTTAGCACTATTTATTGTGGCCAGATTTAAGGAAGGTTAGTAGGGAGGTGTTAGGGAGCAATATAATGTCATAGCCAAGTTTTTAAGTTTTCCAATTAAAGATTTATTTTGATGTTATATTTGTAAATATTAGTCTGAAAATTAACTGGAAATGGTTTATAATACGACAAAATGCTTTTCTGGCTCTATTCTAAATTAGACTACTACTTGTTGTTGTTAAGTGCTGCTAAGTTGATTCCAACTCAGCAATCATGTATAGCGTTTCCAAGGAACAGCTGGTGGGTTTGAACTGCTGACCTTGTGGTTCACAGTCCAGAACTAATTCTACAGTGCCACATTTAATTTAGGACATAGCCTACTAGTATTACATTGGAGTCCTGGTATGGTTCTGTAGAATAAGCACTGGACTGCTAACCACAAAGTTGGTGGTTGAAAGCCAACTGATGCTCCCTATATACTGGGTTGTTTTGAGTCAGAACCAACTCAATGGCATTCAGGAGGCAACAAAGTTAGTTTTTGGTGTAGCACTGTAGGATACACACTGGACTGCTAACTACAAAGCCAGCAGTTCAAACCCACCAGTCGCTTCTCAGAAACACTATACAGGGTCACTATGAATGGCAACTGACTCGATGGCACTTAACAATAAGAAGTATTACATCAAAACGTATGTGTGTTTATATGTGTGTGCAGGTGGGTATGAAAGACAACATGAAATAAGTATGCAATCACTTAGCACTGGAAATCTTCCGTTAAACAGGTAAGTTACTCTAAGGTCAATAAATGCAATGGTGTCTTGCTACAGTATCCAGAACAAACAAGAAAATACTTTGTTCTTAAAAGATTCTCAAGCTACTATTTTCTCTTTGAAATTCATTCCATTATGTAAATTTAATGCTTTTGTCCACTATTACTTTTCATTTTCAACACCCCAACAATAATAGTGAGAATACTGAGCCAATCCCTTATCATTAAGGGCTTTTACCATGTTGTCAACATCTTTCTCACCCTCACACTGAGAAACTTAAAATAAGATATTTCATTCTACCAAAATTTTGGCCAATAACAATAACTCCATTTATGTTACCCAGTCACCTGTTTAACATCTGGTAAGGGAAACAAATGCTAACACTTACTAAGGGCTTATGCAGTGTCAGACACTGTTCCATGCATGTAACTAGAAACACTAACTCCCATTAAAAAATTCCCAATATATATAGTTTGCATTCTACCATCACTTCGAGAATTTTTTCCCCCTCTGCTATGCTCATGTTAAGGAGCTCTGGTAGCATAGCAGTTATGAATTGGGCTGCAAAACTTAAGGTCAGCAGTTCAAAACTACCACCTGTTCCGTGGGAGAAAGAATAGGCTTTCTGCTCCTGTAAAGATTTACAGCCTTGGAAACTCTGTACAGGGTAGCTATGAGTCGGAACTGACTCCATGGCACATAACCACTACCAACATGCTTATGTTACCATGCTCAACTTATGTATATATTGTTGTTGTTAAGAGCCACCGAGTCGGTTCCAACCCACAGTGACCCTGTATAGGGTTTCCAAGTGGCTGGTAAACTTGAACCTCCAACCTTGTGGTTCAAACTGACCTTGAAGTTCAGCGCATTAACTCATAGTGCCACAGTTACATTACCATGGTCAACTTACGTACATCACTATTTCTTTTATTCAATTACAGAAATGTTGTGCTTTGTTGAATTGAACTTTATTGGGGCTACTTTATTTAGTTGCAATCAATACAAATTATAATTTTAACCCTCAAAAGTAACCACATCTCTAGTAACTGCTCAATAATGGATGTTAAGCTGGCAATGTATCCGTACACCTTCTAGTATAGACTGTGGATGACCTTGAACAGCATGGGCTCTGGAACACACCTCTGTGAAACAGGAGTCCTATAGAAGTCATCTGGAAAGGTGTGGGCTGAGTGTATGCATACACATGTGTACCTATTTTTTAAATACAATTTCTAAACATAAAGGCATATTCTAAAGGACACCTGCTTAACAGATACTTCATAACCTGTTTTAAGGACAGAAAACGACTGCAAGGTGTGACAACTTATAACAATTACCACAGACACCAAGCCTTAAGGCAGTCCCATGAGACTCCTGTAGAGTTAAGTGAGCTACAGGCTGACCCTGGAGAGCAATCAGACAAAAAAGATCTACCAGCTGGTTTTGGGGGGAAATGTAGTGATGCTCTGTGTATGTACAATGGTGAGTAATAAATTATCCACACTCTGACTGTAGAATTTATTTTAAACAACTTTCAAAAAATACAAATACATCATTTTTTGACATAATTTCCTTGCTTTTCAATACACTTTGCCCTTCTGTCAACAAGCTTTCATATTCCCTTGTTTTAAAATGTTTTAGGCTGAGCTGTGAGCCATGAATGCATCACTGTCTGCACTTCTTCATCAGAGGTGACTCTTCATCCCCCAAGGGCTGCTTTCAGGGGACCAAACAGGTGAAAATTCAATGAGACTGGATCAGGACCAGAGAGATTACTTTAACACCTCAGAACAAAGTTTTTGCAGAGTGTCAACAGTGTAGGCAGAGGTGTGCAGACATGCATTATCATGCAAGAGTACAAGCAGTCCTCTGTACTTAATCCAAAGTTTAGGCTTTAGCTCTTCAGTGAGCATCTCACTGTAACAAGCACTATTGATTGTTGAACCTTCTTCCTGATAGTGTTCCCATATTGGCCCTCAAGAATCCCAGAAAAGTAAGCATCAATTTTCCAGCTGATAGCTGATATTTGAACTTTTTCTTGGTCGGCAGTTGAAGATGTTTCCATTCCATATTCTGCCATTTACTCACAGGCTCTTAGTGATGAATCCACATCTCATCACCAGTAACAATATTTTTAAAGAAATTTTTACTTTCCTTCAAGTATTGGTCCAAATTTTGTTTGTGCTTCTGTTTGTTGTTTCAGTGCCCAGCACACACAAACTTTTTGAAACCCAAGTCCGCCGTGGATTGTTTCATAGGCAGAGCCATGACTGATTCATAAATCATTTGCCACATAATCCACTGTCACTTGTTTATTCGACTTAATCATTTCACATGTACACACAAGGTTGTTATCAGTCATGGACGTGGAAGGCATTTTAATATAACAAGTGCTGATAATTTTTGAATCACCCTTGTAATTAACATGTAACCAAGCAAGGTTAACTAAATGAAACTGGGACTCCCACAATCATGGCCCTCTCCCATCTTTCTCTATTGCCGACCTTTCTATCCAATGCTAAGATTACACATCCAAATTCGTTTTTGATAACTTCTAGTGGAAGAACTAGAAAAAGTTTCTCTACTGCATATAGATGAAGAGTCACAATTCCTAAGTAACATTGAAGGCCTTCAACAGTAGGACCAAACATATGTGAGGTTTACTTTCCTGCTATTTTTACACGTACCTTATACTGGGGCAAGGTCCTCTTTGCTTTTCAGCATCCTTTTCTTTGCATGTATAAATAAATGCCAGTTCTTTCCTAAGTTGCCTGCTTGAACTCTTTCTGCCTCTGAAGACTCATCTCTAAACTGAGTCCTTTTCAAATAAAATTGCAGTAGGAAAAAGATCAGTTTAGTCAAATTTGTAGGTAAGTCAGAACAGAGGTATAGAGTTCTTATTTAGCCATACTTTATTGCAAGAAAGGATCCTTGGTGGTGCTGTGGGTTAGGCAGGTACTGGGTTGTTAATTGCAACGTCTGCAGTTCAAGCCCACTAGCCATTCCACATGAAAACGATGAGGTTGTCTTTTTTACAGTTTTGTAAATCCTATATAGAGCTCCTATGGGTTAGAATACACTCAATGGTGGTGCGTTTGGTTTTGGTTTGGACGACTGCAAGAAAGGAGCCCTGGTTGGGCTACTAACTGAAAACTTGGCAATTCAAACCCGGCAGGGTAGCTGGTGGGTTCAAATTGCCAAGTTTTCAGTGAGATGAGGCAATCTACTTCTGTGAAGATTTACAGCTTTGGAAACCCCATGGAGCAGTTCTACTCTACGGCAATGGGTTTGGTTTCAGTGCAAGAAAAGCCTCTAATCACATGCAGCAAGTAAAGGTGATTGTGACACAGAATTTGCTATGAGAAGGGACTGGGTTCAATGATTTTAAAGCTAGGACAAATTTTACTTAACATTAAAGGGAAACAAGTTGCCCATAGATTGTACTATTGTAACCTGGGGACTGCCTTTACATATAACAAAGTTTTGGTGTTAAAGTGGTTAAGTGCACAGATGCTAACAGAAAGGTATGAGGATTGAAATCATCCTCTAGAAATGTCTAGTCTGTACTACTTGATGTTATAAGGTCACAATGAGTCAAAACTGACTTGATGGTACCACCAACAACATACATATAACAACAAAAAAAATATTTTTACATGCACAATTCAGAGATATTAGTAGGATCATTATGTACAACCATCAACTCTGCTCATTTCCAAACCTTTCTGCCACCTTTAACAAAAGCTCAGTGCCCTGTAAGCTTTTACTCCTGCTTTTCTGCCTCCCTACAGCCCTGGTAATCACGAAAAGACTTTTTAAAGGATTTCCTATTCTCAATTCCACTAATTAACATTGGCTTGTTGAGGAGAAACAACCTTCTTCTTTGAATTATTGAGTATCCTACAAATTATTGTTGTTGTTAAGTGTTGTAGAGTTCGTTCCTACTCATAATGACCCTGTATAGGTTATTCAAAGAGTGGCTGGTGGGTTTGAACAGCTGACCTTGGAGTTAGCAGTCCAGTGCTGATCTTACAGCGCCACACCAGGGCACCATCCTACAAATAATAGTCATGAAATACTGGAGCCAACTAGAAAGCAACTAACAACAACAATTTATCCCTTTAGTGGTTTGGGGAAATATTTATTTAGAAACATATGAAATTATTGCTCAGATCAGTTATATAATGCTATGAATTTATTTACTTAAGAAAACAGAAAGGCTGCAAATTAATCACCAGGAAGAGAGACAAATTATTATAAAAGCTTTAAGATAACCTCTCATTGTCAGGTCATAGTAAAGGCTGATAAAAATCCTAGGACATCTTCTCCTGCCAAAGATTTGAGACTATTGTCTTCTGGTTTGTGCAACCACACATACATGCACACACACAGCTCAATCCGGGTCTAATTTCTCTTTAGCTATTGGCACTTATAAGGAGCTCTAGTAGCATAGTGGTTACAAGTCAGGCTGCTAACCTCAAGGTCAGCAGTTCAAAATTACCAGCTGTTCCACAGGAGAAAGATGAGGCTTTCTGCTCCTGTAAAAATTTACAGCCTCAGAAACCCTATACAGGGTCGCTATGAATCGAAACCAACTCCACCACATATAACAACCACTGCCACCACTGGCACTTATGATCATTAAAAATCTCAGAACAATAAAGCCTCCTTTCAAGGAGGAGTGGAGGAGGGACACAAGGAGGTAAGAAAAATGCAAGATAAGATTCAACTTCAGGGGACTGGAGCAATCACTGGTTGTTAGTTTTGGCAACCACAGAAGGAGATTTCACTGAGAATAGGAAGTCAGTGATAGCAGTAATGGCTACAAACCACAGGGGGAGGCTTTCTGGTGCTTTGACAGTCACTTACACACGTGAGAAGGGCAGCAGGCTTACCATTAATAAGGTATGGGTGATTGCAGCACTTTCGTAACTCCATCATAGTGTTTAAAAGGTTAGGTACGTTAGCTTGACCACCACCTTTGGAAAGAAATGTAAAATTCTTCTCAAGGATGGCTCGGTAATATTTCTTCTGAATGTTTGTTAGTTCAACTTCAATAATAGTTTCTTCTTTGGGGGCCAAGTTCTTTTCTACATCTTCCTTGAGACGTCTCAACATCATTGGCTTTAGAATAGCCTGAAGTTTTTGCACCTAAAAAAGGATCTTAAGTAAATACTGGTATCACAATTTACTTGCAAGTTAAGAACATATCCTAACACAGAAAATAATAATTATTTTATTTATTTACCCTTCAGTTTAATTTTTCAAAGTCTAGTAAGGGTATATAGGATAAAGGTGCTAATCTTTCACCTTTCTAAACAGAAGTGCATGAAGATTTCAAATCAACTTCTTCATTTATACATTTCTGAATGGTTAGAAGGCTTGTGAACACATACAGGAAATAACTAATTATTCATTCCATCTGCTTGTATTAATCTTAAGCCACTGAAATGATGAGGAAGAGGGAAGCAGTAATGTGATAAGAGTCCTATAGTTTAGCGCTTCCATTTGGGAAAGAGCTAACAGAATGGAAGGGGCAAGGGGCTGTCTGGTTTCTGCACTGAGTCAACAGCAATGCCTTTCCTGTGCTCTCTTTCTGATGACTATCTACCCATCATATTGTTGTTATTTTAGAAAATTAAAACAGAACAAAAAAGGACTTCACTTTGAACTAAGGTTTGTTGTTTTTGTAGAGTGCCGTTGAGTCAATTCTGACCCATAGTGACCCTGTACAGGGTTTCCAAGGAGCAGCTAGTGAGTTTGAACCGTCAACCTTGCAGTTCAAACAGCTTTGCAGTCTGGCACATTAACCCACGGTGCCACACCAGGACTCGCTGAACTAAGCTAAGAGGTTTTAAATAGTAAGTTGAGGAAAGGACATGTGAAGACTAGGATTTCAGATCTTGACATTTGTTTTAAATATGGCACATAAAATACAACAATTAATGCCCACGTAGGAGTCCTGGTGTGGTGCTGTGGGATAAAGCACTGGACCACCAGGACAGTTTGAACCACAGGATTGGCAGTTCAAACTCACCAGTCTCTTCTTGAAAACCTGATACAGGATCACTAGGAGTTGGAACTGACTCCACAGCACTTAACAATGATAACAACGTCCATGTAACTCTTAGTGTGTTTAACCAACCACTTTTCACCCAATAACTGTTCTCAAAGAAATTCAGTACAGTAGTTATGACTCATGTTACCAAAATGAAAATATGTAGCTCACTGTGAGCCAGGTAGCCTAGTACACAGGTCCAGAAATTAGAACCTCCACATTTGTGAGGCAAAGGTCTTTACAAATGTTAGTGGTCTTTGAAACAAGCCCTGAACATAAGCACAGCAAAAACACCAAAACACAACATATAGTGTGTTGAAAAATTAAGTGAAAAGCTATATAATCTCTCTACAAATCTCAACAGCCCTGCATTAAGCCAAACAAACCAAACACTTTCCTGATGATGACTTGGAAAAGGATATTAAAAGTTCCATACACCCTGCTAACAAGGTAGGAGAGAATGGACATACAACTTGCAATTAAAAATAGTTAAATATTAATGTTTTCACAATTATATAGGTCAATTATCTGAGTAAAATGGTAGATAAGTACCTGCTCTTCTGTTTTCAGATCACCAAATTCTTGCATAAAGGTGGTTTCTGAAGGGAAGCGACTTGGTTCCAAAAAATGAAGCAAGCTGAAAAGCTCTTCCACCGTGTTCTGCAATGGGGTCCCTGTCAGCAGCACTTTGTGCTCCTGTAATAACACAAGGAAAGGAACTGATCAAATCATTACCAAAATTCTCTTAAAGCAAGGGCTCTCTCTAAATACACGTATTATGTGCCTTCTCAGAAATATTAATTTATATTATGTGCCTTCTCAGAAATATTAATTTAGCATCCACCCTATACAACATGTAGGAATCAAGCAATTAGGTGGATATACAAGGAAAACAAGGCTTCTGCTTCAGGTAGATATGCGTAGCGTTCTTTTAGAGGTCTACTGTTGTTATTGTTGTTAGTTGCCATTGATCTGGCCTCCAATCCATGGCAACCCTTGCACAAATGAATGAAATGCTGCCCAATCATGTGCCATCCCATGAGCAGTTTCAGATAGGATTGTGATCTACGGGGTTTTCACTGGCTGGTTTTTGGAAGGAGAGTGCCAGATTTTCTTCCTAGTACTTAAGGCTTTGGAGCCCTGGTGTGGAGCTATGGGTTAATGCGCCAGACTGCAAAGCCATTTGAACTGCAAGAAACCCTATACAGGGTCGCTATGGATCGGAATCGACTTGATGGCACTTAACAACAACAACAACTTAAGTCTTTGTCACAGCTTGAAATGTGATCCCACCAAAATACATGTCAACATGGTTGAACTATGATTCTCAGACATGTGACCACTATGAAGTGATCTCCCATGATGTGATCTAATCAGTTGTAATAGGATTAATGGTGAGATACAACACCCTCTATGCCCTCACAGCCCTGATCCAATGCAAGGGTACTTTCCCAGGGACATGGCATATAAGATTTTTTTATATTACAAGACAGAAGAAGAGAAGTGTACAGAGAGAGAAGGACCTACTACCACACAAAACTAAAAGGCAAGAGTGGAGGGCATCCATTGGGCCCAGTTCCCTGTGCTGTGAACCTCCTAGATCCAGGGGAAGAATGATGCCAAGACACATGGAAATTTCCAAGGAATGCTGGGCCTACAATATAGAAAGGAGACAGAGACCTTTCTCCTAAACTTTGAAACAAGAGTGAGAGAAAGAGCCTTCTCCTAGAGATGGTGCTGTGTATTCGAACTTCTAACTGCCTAAATTGAGAGAGTCTGGACGCTGTGCTGAAATCTGTTCAGCATCATAGCAGCATAAAAGCCTCCCCTAGGACTCGAAGAGGAGAGTGGAGCTACTGGCTGATGGGAAGAGAGGACATATGCACAGGAGCGCTCACACCTGCAGATGATACCCACGTGACCTGGACCGGATGACTGGATGACTGGAGATCAACCAGGAGAGGAAAGAAGAGGGGAAAAAGAAAGAACGAAAAAAAAAAAAAAGAGCGAGCTGATAGTCTGATGAACTTGACCTATACCTATGGAGCAGCGACTCAAAAGAGGGAACAAATCCTCACAGCAAGAAACATTCACACACACCCAAACACACAGAGTGGACGGAGAAGGGCAACTTGGACATTGGATACTCAAATTGGGAGGGGGGTTCTACAAAGGCAAGAAGTGACTGGCTTACAAGCTTTCAAGAGGGAACCTGGTGCTAGGGAGCATGGCGGAAGGCAGAAGCTCTAGTAGGCACTATTCAATCTGTCTGGGCGGAACGGATGAAAGGAGATACAGATGGGTAACTCGTGATACTGTAGTGAATAATGTTTATCAGGACGGATTATGAGGGTTGGAAATACAAAGGTAGAAGTTTTGTAACAAGGAAGTGAGTGATTAATTCTCCATGATAGGAGCTGAGGCCTCTGGGACCATCAACGGAGAAGAGCCGAGAGCGGGACCCTGCCCAGAGAAACAGAGATGCCTGAGATGGAGACAGTGATGATGACATGGAGTGATGAAGTGACTGGGGACTTTGGACCCAGAGAGGGAAAGGGACTGTGGGCCGAAAACTGGGGGGAGTAGGGGAAAGTGTAGGGGGCGGATTTCTGGAATATACCCTTTGGGTGGTTGATGATGCATGGAGGGAACTGGAACCATGGCAGTGATGTGATATATGATGGAATGAATGTAAAGCTGAAGTTCCCCCACATAAACTATCATATAATTCACAATAAAACATTAAAAAAAAAAAAAGCCTCCCCTAACAAAGGGGTGATGCTGCACACCAGGTGCATTCACCAACAACTGACCCTGGATCTTCCACATGGAAAGTGAGCATTTTACCATGGAATACTAGTTTCCCTTCTAGAACTGATGTTGTTGTTGTTGTTAAGTGCTACAGGGTTTCCAGGGAATGACTGGTGAGCTTGAACCATCAACTTAGCAGTTCAAATGGCTTTGCAGTCTAGCACATTAACCCACAGCGCCACACCAGGACTCCTCTAGAACTATATGACTCCTTAAATTAGTCTTTACCATTTTGTTTCTTCCTGAGGTTACAGCTCAGTATTTTAGGACCATGACTTCCTAAATCCTCTAAGTCTAAATACTTTTGCCCACCAAAGTTTTTTTTCTGAAAGTTCCTAAAGTAGTGCTCTCCTTGCAGCGTCTGCTTCCTGCATGACTCACTTCAGAGACAAAAGACATTCTTCTATTAGCAACAGCAAAAATAAAACCATTTTGTTCTGCAAAAATTTCAAACTAGCGAAGAGGTCAGCTTGGTTTGAAGTATCACAAACTTTTGTTTTTTTGTTTGTTTTTTCCATTAATAGTCAAATGCTATTTATAACTTACTCTCTCTGAACCAAATTAGGTATTTAAAAAAATAATAAATCTTCCTGTTTGTAAACTGGAAAATTATTTCTCCAGTTTTTCATAGGCAGCTACTCTTTTTCTTGTCCTTCTATTTCTCTATCTCCAACACAGAGAAGCTATTTTGCAATGATTAGTTTAATAGTGAATTTATTAACAATTGTTGTTGTTAAGTGCCTTTGAGTCGGTTAGGACTCACAGCAACACTGTATGTTGTTGTTATTGTTGTTAAGTGCTGTCAATTCGATTCTGACCCATAGCGAGGACCCTGTATAGGGTTTCCAAGGAGCAGCTGGTGAGATTGAACCACCAACCTTGCAGTTCAAATGACTTTGCAGTCTGACACATTAGCCCACAGTGCCACACCCTATACAGGGTTTCTGAAACTTTGTAAATCTCCGCAGGAGCAGAAAGTCTCATCTTTCCCCTTGGAGTGGACTGCAAGCCAGATTTTGTGGTTCACAACAACAGACGTGCCCCTTGTTAACAGTAAGTGTCTTCATATGTTCTACTCTGAAAGACTATTTGGTATATGACAGTATAGTTGACAGTAACAAAGTAGTTATAACTACTTCAGAAAGTGATTATATCTTCCTGTCAGTTCAAAACCCATATTCTGACTATCTTTAACTTGGGATCTAACCACACTTTGTTGCCAAGCAGAGAATATATGCTCAGTAAATTATCAGTTGAAAAAGATAACCAAGGGCATACTGATTTTCTTAGTTTCTGTCATATTTTCTTTGTCAAAAGAGCTCTGAGAAAGTGAGGTCATGCAGTTACATGTGTTTTTATTTCTCCATTTCTTCCCTTTGAATGAAGTTGTCTCTGACTCAGGAAGATGCCTTCGCCTTCAGATTCATTCAATTCATAAAGAGTAAGGAATTTGTAAATCCATTAGGATTTCCTAATTGTACAAAGTGAGCCACAAACATTGTCACACACAAATTCTGAGTAACTTTAACTAATACGTTTTTCACTTTTCTATTATCACAGATACATGAAAGAGTTATTTCAGTGGAACTGCTTACTGGTAAATCTCCTAGTATTGTTATACACTTTATTACTGTGTTACATTTAAATTCTGAACCCCAAATCAAATATTTCACAAATCTTTAACTTTATTAATTTGAAAATAAACTTATTTGGGAAAAGCACAGGAGCTCCTTAGACTGAACTATTTCCCTTCAAGGGCTGTTTAATACTCAGTTGTATTTAATGATTACACATACAACTTTCCAATAGTTGCATATATACAGCTGAATAAAACCATGTTCAAAGAGAATAAAGAGCAAACACAATAGATGAATACATACAAGACCACAAAAACATCAAGGAAGGGACAGAGGTTCCAGAGTTTTCACTTTTAAGCTCACTATGGCAACAGATATGCCTTTGGCTTGAAAACATTACTTTGCTTTTAGCTCTGACTGAAGGATATCCATTTAATTTCATTTCAACAGACTCATTTGGGTGGGGTCTCCTGACAATGAAAAATAAGCTAAAAGGATCCATGAAAAACCTCTATTCCTCCACAGCAGCCCCCTCTTTGATAAGGAAGAGCAAGCAGATGGTCTGGTTTTCTAGAGACCCGTGCTGGACTGTGAAGGTCTATCACTTGTCCTGGTGATAGGAGAGTTGAGACACTCACTGGCCTTCTTCCTGAGAATGCACTTTGAAGATGTGCACATTTTCATCCAAACTCAGTGTACGGGAGAAAGACTCATTAAAACTGCAGATGATATAAACTTGCTTATTGAAAGCGAAGAGGATTTAAAAGACTTATTAATGAAGATCAAAGATCACAGTCTTCAGTATGGGTTGCATTTCAATGCAAAGAAAGCAAACATTCTCACCACTGGACCAATAAATAACATCATGATAAAAGGAGAAAAGATTGAAGTTGGCAAAGACTACATTTTGCTTGGATCCGTTATCAACACTCATGGAAGCATCAGTCAAAAAACCAAATGATGTATTGCATTAGGCAAATCTATTACACAAGATAATCTCTTTAAAGTATCAGGAGCAAAGATGTCAGTATGAGGACTAAGGTGCGCTGAACCAAGCCATGGTATTTTCAATAACCTCATATGCATGTGAAAGTTGGACAATGAATAAGGAAGACCATAGAAGAATCAATCCATTTGAGTTATGGTGTTGGAGAAGAATATTAAAAGTACTGTGGACTGCCAGAAAAACAAAATAAAATCTGTGTTGGAAAAAATACAGCCAGAATGCTCCTTAGAAGTCAGAATGGTGAGACTTTGTCTCTTATGTTGTTGTGGTTCAGTGTCATCGGGTTGGTTCCAACTAAGTGA